AAATAGTGTTCCTTTGTGTATTGTTCAGTCAGCTTCCTTGTATCTGAACAGTAGGAGCAGCTGCAGAAGGGAGCCTCAGTCTTGGTAATTTCATTCACTGGTAATACCAGTGTCTTAACTTGGCTACTGTAATCTATGCTCTGGTCAGCGGCATTTTGTGAGCAGAATGGGAGGCAGGAGGCGGGGGCTGCCAAATTTTTGCCTTGCACAGGGTGCCACTGAGGACCTTCAAAGTCTGCCTCAACCTTATGGATTCAGAGGAAGCAAACAATCTTAATCTAGCAAATTCATCATCACATTGACCAGCAAGGAACCAAGGCAAGTTACAGCAATTTAAAATTTAAAACTAAAAGCAGTTAAAGCATTTTAGAATCATAGGAATAAGGTGGACCCCAAAAACCCACAACTCAGGTGTTCTTCGGCATTCACTAAAAGCTGTGCAGTATCACAGCCAGACACTCCTCTGTGGGGAGGGAAATGCACAACCTAGGGGCTGCCCCAGAGAATATCCTGTCCCAGGCCACCCCCACTTCCAAACTTCTGAGGGAGGTGGAACTTCCAAGAGTTCCCCTTCCCCCCTGCTGATCTTAGCACCTAGCAGGGTTTGGAGGGAAGGAGGCAGTCTTTCAGATATTTGGGACTTTGAACACTAAGGTGATCGCCTTGAATTCGGCCCAGAAATGAAATGGCAGCCAGTGCAGCCAATTAAGCACATCCTTCCTTTTAATTAACAAGTAGTCACAAGTGCTGGCAATTAAATTAGACCAATTTTTCCAGTGTAAGCATCTGCCTTTGTGATTTGCTGATTTGGCTTTAGGGAATAAAAGGAAACATGATGTTGGTGAGTGTAATAAACAAGAGCTTCAGAAACAAAGAAGCGCTCCTAACTTCTCAGTGAGTTAACCATTTGTTAATACACACATTATCATAGGTTCTTCTTCTTTTCAAATGGTCTGACATCTTGATCAGGCAAGGGAGGTAAAGCTCATGAGGTAAAGTGATCTCTGCAAAATTCTGCTTCTAACAGGATGCCTTGCCTGTGGCGAGATTGGCACGTTGCGCAATGTGACCAACCCCAAATCTCTCTGCTGAGATGTGCTTCTTCTGGCTTTGCTTTTGTTTTCTCCTTCGTTTCCACTCATTTGCCCATCTCTGCCAACCTGTATATGTCTGTCTACTTTTCTGTACATTTGCTTGAAGGTAAGTTAGGGAGCAACAAGGGCCCAGAAAGACAACGAGGGATGTGTTCTCATTCAAAGGGGATGCAGGAGTCAATATCCACAAATATATGGATTCAGGACAAGATTCTAGTGTCTCAAACCAGCATCTACCTGAAATGAAGTGTGCAACAGAAAATTGTATCTTTGGCAGGGGTGGGGGATCTGTGGCCCTCCAGACATTGTTGGACTCCAGCTCCTGTGGACAATGGTCAGGGATGATGGGGATTGTAGTACAACATTTGGAAGCCATTCAGAGTGGCTGGGGTAACCCAGCCAAATGGGCGGGATATAAATATTATTTGTTTGTTTGTTTATTACACCAGAGGTTCCCCATCCCTGATTTATGGCTAGTTAAATGTGATTGTGCTTTGGATATGTGTTCTAGCTTGCCATTTGAAAGTTAGTTTTATTGCATAATGCATGGAGTATTGAATATCACTCTATTTGATGTCAGTTGTCTATTTTAAAGTCCTAGTTTTTCACGACTTAGCTGCTAGCATATTTGTCAAGCTAAGCAGGGTCCAGTATGCTTTTTGTTGAACTGTATATCTTGTTCTTTCTACAGCTTGTAAACTGCCTCGTGTATAGCAATATAGAAAGGCAGTATACAAACTAAAAGTGAAATGAAAATGAAATTTCAAAAGCAATGGTCTTCCGCTGTGCAGGTTGATCATGAGTTGCAGCTACTGAATTTCCCCTTGCAGTACAGTTATTTAAAGTGCGCCTTTGTCAGATACAGAAAGGAAACCTCAGCCTGAACCACAGCAACAATAGCAAGGAAGGTATGCAAACTTCATTTATTTAGGACACAAAAGAGGCACATGACCTGAACAGTATTTCCCCCTCCATTTCCTCCAAAAACCTGTGCTCCCTGAATATGTATGCAAGACCAGTTCCTGCTTAATTTAGGAACAAAAGTAAGCAGGAATAAAGCCACAACGAACAATATACCATCTGCTTTATTATAGCTCTCGTTTGCTGCGAGAGCCAAAGTACAATTGAAAATAAAGGCCAGGCCAATCATCTTGTCAGTCTTGAACACACACAGCCCTTTTCAGCTTCAGCAGGCTCTGCGTATGCGCCATTCACAGAACCCTCTCTCCACAAAGGGCCTAACATGGAACAAGGAGAGAACCAACAGAGAAATGTGGACCTTTGTTTGAGATCAAATTGATTTTCTTCTCTTTCCCTTTTTGACATTTCAGGTTATTTTTCCCACAATTAATACCTGATTGGACAGTCGTCTATAAAAATGCTTTTGCAAGGCGGGCAACAAATCTCTAACAGAATCCTCACTGTTTTCATTTCACAGGGCTGTTTGCTAAGCTCATTTATTTAATCATAGAAGCAGGTTGAGAGACAGTGATAGGCCCAAGGTCTTCCAGGAGCTTGCTGGTTGACTGAACAGAGATTTGAACCTGGGTCTCCCCAGTCCAAGTCCAACTCACTGTTAGCTACACCACAGTGGTCCAATTACACTGATATACTAACTATAGTAAGTGTGCAGGGTCCTGTGTTGCTGCATAAGAATGGACGGGTTTGTTGTTATGTGCTATTCTCCTCTTTGTTCACTTTCCTATGGCATCTTCTGATGTATAGATCACTTCTTATAAGCATATCCAGCAGGGGAATCCTGTTAAATGTGTTCCAGTGAGAATTCTTGTGGTGGCTTAAAGACCAAACAAATTCATTGTGGCATAAACTTTTGTGGATTATACTCCACTTCACTATATGCATGAAGTGTCATCCGAAATCAGCAAGCAGAGGTACATGCGGTTGGCAGTGGGAAGGGGAGAATGCAGGAGAGTGAGGTCAGAGGGTGAGAACGATTACCTAAACTCAAAATAATCCCTGTGACCATTTGAAAAGGCTGTATGTATAATAAACATGAGATGTTTAATAAGGATGGGAAAACTTTTTGCCAACTGAAGGCCATCTGGGCACGTGCAAGTGGCAGACAAGGCCAGAAGCAAAAGTAGGCAGAGCAACGAATGCAAAGTTTACCTTTATACAGCAGGCTAGTTTCTACACATGGTCACCCACACTTCTTTATCCTTCAACCAGGGAACCAAGAGTTGTTATCAGAGTTCAAGGACGCATTCCAGCCAGGCAAAAGCACTGGTTCAGTGCTCTTCTGTGTAGACATGTTTAGGATTATGCTATATTCTCATGTGCTGCTTCAGATAAAAGCATAGGGATAGTGCATGTGTTGAATACCAAAGACTCCAGATTCAATCTCTAGTATCTCCCCTTGAAAGAATTAGGTAGCTGCCAATGGGAAACACCTCCGGCTGAGACTCTGGAGAGCTACTGCTAGTCATAATGGGCAATGCTGGCTAGATAGACATGGCAGCCTGAGATGAGGAGGCACCTGTTGTTGCTTCTGTCTCAAGCTCTCTAAAACAAGAAGCATTCTCACTGTGACCTTTTCTCTGTTGGGGCAGGGAAGGCCGGATGAAGACATTCAGAAAGGTGTCTGAGCACCCTGAGAAGGGCAGCCTGGGCAGTGTTGCAATGAGGTCATTTTAGACTTAAATGGTCAACATTTCAATCAGGGGTCGGCAAACTACAGCCCAGGGGCTGGATGCGGCCCACCAAGCTCATAAATCTGGCCCGCAGACCCTGCCGCCTGCTTGATCAGTCCCCGTGCTGAGCTAAACCGGCGTGGCACGGCGTTTCCTTGAAAAGAAGTTGCAGACGCCTCACCGCCTGGGGACTGACTTCCGTGACACTAGCGAAGCTTCGGATTGGCTGCAGGAAGTTCCTGCAGCCAATCCGAAGCCTCGCTGCCCACACACTGAGGTAAACTTGGCGAGGCCATGGACCGAGAGGCTGGCAGGTGGGCCTGTGGTCTGGGCCGCACCATGGGCATTGTGACGGGCGCGTCGTGGGGCTTCAGCCGCACCTTGGCACACCTGCTTGCCCCATGCCTGGTGCCCAGCTCAGCGCTGCTGGTGGTGGCGCACTCAGCGGCCACAGTGGAACAGCTGGAGGGCGAGCTGTGGCAGCCTGCCCGGTGCTCCTCATGCACGGCCTGCCCACCAACCTGGCCTTGTATGACGGGCTGCAGCATGTGGTTCATGCCAGCTGGAAGCTCCGTGGGGACAGGCCGATGGAGCGGCTGCTGCTCATCAACAACGCCGGTGGGCGGGTGGTGCCAAGACACGCTCCTGAGTGTGTGCCAAGTGCGTTCCTTCTCCAGCTCCAGAGGCAGCTATGGGACTGGCTTACAGGGTATTTATATTTTTCAAAATATTGTCCGGCCCCCCACAAGGTCTGAGGGACAGTGTACCAGCCCCCTGATGAAAAAGTTTGCTGACCCCAATTTAGATAGTGATGTGTATTACCTGTGTCTGCAACAGGACGGAGTAGAAAACCAAACTTTGAAAGATGGTGAACCAGCCCTGTTGCTCTCGGGGTGGCGTGGGGGTCCCTCCTGCTCATTTTGCTGAGTGGGGCCTTGGGAATCTTCCCTACTTCCCCTGCTCTCTCAAAAACTCTGCTGCATTGCGCTGTGGATGAAACGAAGACCGTAAAACACTTGGCAAATTAAAAATGACAGTCACGGTGGGCTTAAAGACATTACCGGCCCAGAATTCCTCATCTGATTAGGACCATGAATTAAGGAAGCAGTTTCTTCTGACTGCTCCACAGGCCACTTCACCTATTAGCAACAATTAGGAAAGCCACTGGGTGCCAAGACTACGAGTGAAGCAGTAGACCTGATGCCTGGGCTTTTTCCACAGAGTCTAACCTTCTTCCTGTTTTTTCCTCATGCAGCCCATGGGATCCGAGCGGATGGAGATGCGCAAAAGGCAAGCATCTGTGACCCAGGAGACAGCGAGCTCTGTACAGCCACAGCCAGGGATTGAAAACCGTGGGTCCAACGCCTGCTGCTTCTGTTGGTGCTGTTGTTGCAGCTGCTCCTGGTATGCCTTTAAACCATATTCAAACCTCTTGGGGGAAGAAGGGGAAAAGATGACACCATGTATGCCCTTGAGTAATCAGATGAGTTTTACAAGGGGTGGAGGAAAGGCGGTGCAGCTGTTGCCTAATTTTCCATAGATGAAAACACCAAACAACATTCCTTCCAGTTCTTTAAATCTTCTGGAAATACATAAAGATGCAAGCAGAGCTGGAACCATTCAGAGCTTATGTGTTTCTCAGCTGCAGGTCAATGCAGGAACGTGTTTAGCCTGAATAGCTCAGTTGGTTAAAGTGTGGTGCTGGTAACACCGAGGTTGCAGGTTCGATTCCCGTATGGGACAGCTGCATATTCCTGCATTGCAGCGGGTTGAACTAGATGATCCTCAGGGTCCCTTCCAACTCTTATGATTCTAGAACAGCTGAGCCCAGTCAGATGCTTTGGACTCCAATACCCATCACTCCTTACCATTGACCACACTGGGCTGAGGCTGGTGTAAGTTGAAATCTATCGATATCGGCCAGGGACCAGTTTGGGAAAGGATAGTCTAGGAAGGGGTGCAGCTTATCAGCAGAAAAAATGCTTCACATATATTAAGTCCCAGGTATCTCCAGAAAATCTCACCTAGCAGGGCTAGATGGATCAATGGCTAATGGGGGACAGCTCTTCATAATAATCAGCAATGTGTGGATTCCATTATTTAAGGAAGGAAGCATTTCAGAGGGCCATACCCAGAGGCTCTAACTTCAATGGACCACATACTTCTAAAAGTACTATGAAACAGCTATTGCTGACCTAGTCACCATTTCAGAGAAACCAAGAGAAGGCTGATAATTTGAAGATGTGCAGGGCTTTTCTTCAGCTGGAACTCACTGTAACTCGGTTCCCGCACCTCTCAGGTGGGCACCATTGCCATTACAAGAGAACAAGGGAAGCGTTCAGGGCGAGTTCCAGCACCTCTTTTTCTAGAAAAATAGCACTGAGGATACGACCTCACTCTACAGCTAGTTTAGCTATCCTGTGTGCTATCTACTAAACCTAGACACTGCAACAAAGAGAAAAGGAACAAAGTAGCACATATAATTTTCAAAAGGAAAGCTTCTGAACAGCATATTCTTAGCGGGGATCTTTAAAATGCATAAGCTGACATATCTGGGACTTATCCTCACAGGATTCAGCACGGAACATAATGATTTTCTCCAGAGCACTTGGTCTATATAATCCAGTTCCCCATTGCAAGCAATCAGGGCAGCACAGAATCGGCAAACTGGTGCATAGAGATCACTTCAGAATCATCTTATTGAAACAAAAAAAGAGAATCATTTTATTGAGTTCCGATTTTGAAAGTTTTCGTTGCTGCTTTCAGTAAGCAACCTGTAGCCTATAACCCAAGGTCATGCCCACGTTAAGGATTTTTATTTGAGAACCCGATGGACAGCTAGAACTGAACCGTGTACTTTGCCCCTCCTCTGACTAGTCTTTGTGTGTGGGTGCATTCTACAACATGTCATTAATGCAATAATAGTGTATATGTGGTGGATTTATACCAGATCAATCGACACATCATTTCACTTTATTCATTGTTCTGCTATGCTTCCCCAGTTGCATTATTGACATCTAGAGGGACACTCCTGCACTATAGCACAACAAAAGCAGGACATAAAATAAGCCAGAACATTTGTTGTATAAAAAACCATAGGTTTTCAGCAGGAAGCTATGGAACATTCACCAGTTGCAAATAAAGCAATACATCTGCCTCGGAACTTCTGCAGGTACAAACAGGATCACTTATTGTTCATTCATTTATTTATTTGTTAAATTTATATACTGCCCTTTATCCGAAGATCACAGGGCAGTTCACAACATAAAAATACAAAATGAGAATACAAAATACATAACAAAACAAAAACAGACCAATAACCTCCCCTCCTACAAACTCATTTAGAAAGATATTAGAATGTTTAATCAGCCCAAGGCCTGGTGGTAGAGAAACAACAATTATGTACGTATGTACGTATGTATGTATGTATGTACAGTCAAACCTCGATTGTCAAACGTAATCTGTTCTGGAAGCCTGTTCAGCTTCTGTAATGTTCGACAACCAAGGCACAGCTTCCAGTTTGTTGCAGGAGCTTCCTGCACTCAAGCAGAAGCCACATCGGATGTTCAGCTTCCGAAAAACGTTTGAAAACCGGAGCATTTACTTCCATGTTTTCAGAGTTCGGGAGCCAAAACATTCCAAAATGGGGGCATTTGGGATCCAAGGTTATATAACTGTATATATAACTACCCTGATCCCATCACAAACACAAATCATGAATGCACAATAAAAAGGATAACCATACACTACCACACTTCTGTCAGTATAACATCAAGTATCTCTCAATCAAAATGTTTATTTTTTAATGAACTGAATAGGGTGAAAGATTATGAGTCATGGGTGTGTGGAGAATGTGCTTAGCTTAGCTTAGTTTAAGGTAAAGTTAAAGGGAACTCTGACTGTTAGGTCCAGTCGCGGACGACTCTGGGGTTGCGGCGCTCATCTCGCTTTAGTTGCTGCTTTGTTAATAGCATTTTATAGATTACATTATTGATGATCTGTTAATAGAACATCACAAATACAGCATAAATATAAAATAATTATGTTATTGCTATTTGTTGTTTACAAGCTGCTTTGGGTTCATTTGAAGGAAAAGCAGTATTCAAATACAATCAATCTGGAAAGTTACTCCTTTTGTCCTGACGACAAAACATACATATCAAATACTCTTTCAAGCATGCATAAAGGGGTCATCCATATTGCATGGGATTGCTACAGAAACATGAAACTAGCTTGGACAGATGCAGGTGAGAAATGGTTGCTTACCCTGTCAAGGGATGGGCAGCGGTTGCTGCCCGTCATCTCAGATTCCCAAGGAGCAACGCTGGGGCAGGCAGTGAAAAATCCCTGGACTGGCAACTCTGATTGGTGGGCTTTCCCACCACCCAGTTGTCTGAACCTTGGCCAATTTGGCCAGGGTAAGTAGAGGGGCTTGAGAGCAGACCAGACCAGGCTTCACTCCAGTCCACCCTTGGCCGATAAAAGCTGGCTGCACCCGACCCCCTGGGAAATAGTCGCTCACTTCAAGAGCTTACTGCTGAAAACATTTTCTAGTGTAACCACTTCTGCAATATTAGAGTATCACCTTTCAAATATTGTTACTCAGCATGGCTGGCAACAGGATTTCTTCATGTGCCGTTATTTCAACTATTACAGAAGGAAATAAAAGCACAATGGGTTTTTGCACGACAGGCATACTTTCGTCTCACTGTCTTTAGCTTGGATATAAAGTTCACAGTCATTTTATTCCATTTTCTTTTTAATCCCATTGAAAAATATATAATGAAAGTTTTTTTAAAAAAAGTTGCTCTGTTGGAGGTTTTAAATTAATTTATATTCACGACTCTTAAAAATATTACTTGCACTTAATAGCATCCTGCCCAAGTAAAAAACCTCGTTCTACCATCAAAATTATATACTTCTTCAAAATTACTGTTTTCAAGTCAGGAGAAATGTGAAAATCGGCGATTCAAAGCTCTATTTATAATCCTTGTTTATAGAAAGGATTTCCTCAAATAAGCTGAATGGGCTGCAAAGAAAAAGAAAAATATGAATAGGAACAGAAATAGTACCCCAAGTTACAAAATCTCCAATACTGAAAGCTCTTGTGGGGTTGGAATTAACCATTTTAGAGAAACTGAGGAGAAAGAACAGTCACCAGATGGGCTTTTGTTGGCTGAAGTCATAACTTATGCTCCATCTTTTCATCAGCAATTCAGGATCAATTATACTTTTAGCCAAGCAATTATGGTGAATGGTCTCTCTTAGGTGGCTTAAAATTAAAAGGCCACAGCTGTCTTTTTTAGAAGCATCAGAAATACAAAAAATAAAGCAGAGAAGGAACATGGTCTCCTACACTGTTTTGCATAGAATTTATTTTTGTCCAGATAAGCTTTGTTAGTGGCGGTACAGATAGTCTTGCTGAACAATTTTCTTTCATTTGTATCCCACCCTTCAGTATTTCCATTCCCAGGATGTCTTTTATATATAATGTTTAGACAAACAATGTAACAATGCAATTAAATGCAATCAAACAAAAGGCAGCAGGGCAGCCAATGGTTCACCATTCAGCAGATTATTATTTTTTTTAAAAGGACTATATGCAATAACACTTGTAATGTAGTAAGTACTAAGGAGATAATGGGGTTATATAAAATATGGGTTATTGAAAAAGGTGCAGTAGAAAAGGTTAATAATAGGACCCACAGAGGGGAAGGTGGGAAGTCCAGAGATTCGGAGGAATCTTTAAATGTGGATGTATATGGCTGTATTGTTATAATTTTATACTTGTAAAATCAAATAAAAATTTATATACACACACACACACACACACACACACACACATATATATATATATATATGGATAAAGTTGGGTTTTTGTTCTGCTTTTAAAATCACAAGAAAGAAGACAAAGCAGGAAGCAATTCTGCTGTGAAATGTCCTATTCAATTTACCCAATTCAAGAGAAATATTTTGGTGTAGGAGTGTTGTTCTTATACAGTGGTACCATGGTTTGCATACGTCTTGGTTTGCATACATTTTGTATTACAAACACATCAAACCCAGAAGTGTGTGTCCCAGTTTGCAACCTTTTTTTGGATTACAACCCTTTTTTGGGGGGGATTATGAACAAAAAATTTTTGGAGGCCCCATTGGGTTACAACCTGTTTTGGTTTACAAACGGACCTCCGGAACGGATTATGGTTGTAAACCAAAGTACCACTGTACTGGGGCGAACTTCTTTGAACATATGATCAGGTTTGAAAACTAGAGGAACAAATTCAAAGCTTCAGCAAACTTCTTTATTTCAACTTGATTAAACTATGCTTGTTGCCTTGCAGTCTTACTGTTAGGAATCAAGATGAAAGAGCAGCATCACATGAACTCAGAACAGACGCTATTCCAAACTGTGAAGAAAGGTAAGAACTAGCTGGGTAACAAATCAACACAGAAGACTAATTTTTGTTTCTACACTTGTGTCTATCCATCTAGGCTGCATAAACAACATGCATTTAAAGCATGTGCATGCACACACACGAAACAATCCTGGGAACTGCAGTTTCTTAAGGGTGCTGGGAAGCTCTGTAAGGGATAAACTACAGTTCCCAGGATTCTTGGGGTGGTGGTGATGGAAATGCCTGATATGTATGCAGCCTTAGACTCCTACAACTGGAGGTGGCTGCCACACTCATAGCTACTTGCATAGAACGCATGTCCATGCAACTCTGATGATCATTTGCCTAGTTGCAGAAACAGGGAAGGCTAATACTAGCATCTTTTTTAAAAAAAAATCTTCCCCTTTTATTTTTCCATAAAATTTTAAGAGAAGTCAGTCGCCATTGTCATATTTCCTAACAATTTAAAACATGGCAGATATATGCCCTGGAAATACATGACAGGTTATAGGGATGTGCACAAGTCGCAATGTATGCCTTATATCTGCAGTTTTAGGAAACCTTATCTGTTTGCAAGTAACTCTGTAATTTGAATTCTGAGCTGCTCTGTTGAAAACAAAGTTCTGAGTTGTATCCAATGTCAGTCATACTCCAAGTAAACTCTCTGGAATTAATGGAAATGTCTAACTTATGGCCATTCTTTTCAATTCTTTTCAATCAAAAACAGAGCCTACTGTGAACAAAATTTATTTGGAGACATCCCATTGTGTTTCCCCATTTATTATAATAGGTAGAATAAAAATGATAACTTTTCCATGTTTTGACCAAAGTGGATAAAAATTTTCAGGCACAGGAGCCTTACCAGAGTAGTTCAAACCCACCAATTTGCAGATAAGGTCCAGGAGATTTGTAGGGGGAAGTAAAAAGGATTAATTTTCCTCCATAATCCCTTATGTGGAGAACAGGGGCTTGTCTATTACTTTACCTTAATTAAGTGGTGGCTGAATGGTTTGTCTTCCTATTAGTACATCTTTTAACACTTTGCAGCTTCACTCCAGCTTCTTTCTGGATGTTATTTGTGTTCTCCAATAGGCTTTAAAAGCTTTTATAGGTCTCCAATAGGCGAAGAGCTCTTGGTTTTCATTTATGTTGTTTAAGCAGAACTTAAGTGTTTTTAAAAACTTAAAATAATGCTTATTCCTTAAAAATGTATTGTAACAGAAAAGCCTGTTTTAACAGAAAACAATCCAGAGCTCCTCAGTGATCTTCAGGCAGCATTTTGGATAGCCTCACTTCTTGAAAAGCCCCTGGACATAGAGAAACATAGATATTATAGAAGACCACGTAAGAGATGTTATATAGGGACACATAAGAGCCATATCTTGTACAGTTATATGAGATTTTGTGGGCACTCTGATCTGCTCATGAGGGATTATTGACATTTAACTCAGGGCGAGGAAAGACCCTCCCAAATCACCCCAATTTGCCTCATTATTCAGCCCACACACAAGAGGTGAGGCACACCTGTAGCAGTCTATGACATTGTTCTGTCCAATAATTAACACTGCTGATGGCATTAATAAGATGAATTTAGCAAGTCATCTACTCAAATAGTAACTTGCCACACAGTATATTTTTAATTGGCAAGTCAGTCGTCTGCATCTTTAGCCGAGTGGTGAAATTGTTGTTCCTCCACTTTCTTGGATTTTCAGTTAGCTCTAGGGCAACAGCAATATTTTCTCCTCAGCACTTGGAAAAGTAAGGCTGGTATTGCAGCATGCCATAACATGCATTTAATCTCCCGATTTCTACAAAATTATCACCCACTAAAGTTCTCCTCTTGTACTGTTAACTTGGTAATGCCCGGTCTCTATTTTTCATTTGTATTACAGCTCAACTCCAACTCTTGAAGAAGTGAGTGCCTGGAGCCAGTCCTTTGACAAATTGATGAGAACGCCAGCAGGTAGAAATGCTTTCAGGGAGTTCCTTCGGACAGAATTCAGCGAAGAAAATATGCTTTTCTGGTTGGCCTGCGAAGATCTAAAGCAGGAATCCAACAAGGCTATCATTCAAGAGAAAGCAAGACTAATATATGAAGATTATATTTCCATTCTTTCTCCCAAAGAGGTTTGTAACCCTTTTCACACTATTTTGTAGTACACCCGATTTCAAAAGGACTAAGCCAACAATCTAAATTGAAAGATCTAATTGATATTTCAAGATGTTTCCATTCAGGTATGTAGCTAGTGCAGTGTGTGTGTTTAAAAAAGCTGTTCTATTCTTATTTTATAATAAGTTTTTCAGTTTGCTGAAAATTTTTGGGGGCTCTTTCAGGGACAAAATGTGGTCTTCTGAGATGAAAGTGAGGGGTAAAATATGACATTTGAAACTTTGTGAGTTGTAGATCTAAAATCTTAAACTGCCAAGGAATATAATTAGTCTGGCATTCCAAAATTAGTCTGGCTGAAGCACTTTGAACATACAAGGGTGTCTGACTGTAGGTAGGAGGCTCTTCTAGTCTCTGATAGGTGCCTATATATAGCCAATAGGTTATACTTAAACAGCTGAAGGCAGTCCTGTTCAGGGAAGTTTTTAGTGTGATATTGTATTGTGTTTTTACTGTTTTTTGTTGGGAGCCACGCAGAGTGGCTGGGGCAACCCAGCATATAAATTATTTTATTATTTTTTATTATTATGGTGCAAGCCTACTTTAAATCCATCCTGTCATTCTACACAAGTTAAATGTTTCTCCTTCATCTGCAAATAATTTTACATCATTAGGCCAATCTGCTGTGAGACAACAAAAACACAGCAGAAAAGGCCTATTTTTATCATTATTTTTACTTTCATTAGTTCTGTAACAGAATGCCTACATAGGTTTCAGTTCCACTACGGTCACATTAACTCTTTTCCACAATTTTCAATAGAGAAGATTAACACCTACTCTTAGCAACTGTTTTCTTTATTTACAGGTCAGCCTGGATTCCAGAGTAAGGGAACTTATCAACCGGAATATGCTGGAACCATCGGAACATAGTTTTGATGAAGCACAACTCCAGATTTATATGTTAATGCTCAGAGACTCTTACCCTCGGTTTATGAACTCTGCCATATATAGGGACTTAGTTGAGTCTCTCTCTCAAAAATCTGCTGAATCGTAGAGTTTTAATATATTTCACACCCAGTCATCTAAATAAACAAGGGAAACTTGGGGCTACCATACTGTCCGTCAACATGAAAATTAGAATTATTGAGTTTATTACCCAAAAATAACTCAAGACATATTGCGTATATTAATACAATGTCAAAAAAGTGTTCTAAGATGGAAGGTTTCCAGAACCCCAAGCTATTTGCAGTTTTGGATAAGTTACAGTAAGATAATGGGATATGGAGATATATATAAAAGTCTTCAAAAAGGAGCAGCATATGTAAGATACAAAAGAAGAAAACCTATTGGAAAAAGCTTTAAAAAATTCTTACAACTAATTAGGAATAAAATAATAAATTTAATTAGGAAGTGGAGGAAGAGTAGTTGTTGCGCCTTTCCCCAAGAATCATATCAAAGTGCTGCACCACTGGGATCAGGGAAATTGGTGTGTAGGTTCACCTTAATGCTATTCTGTCTCTGAACACTTTGCAGAGATGAAAGCTGTGCACTCAAGGGATCATAAAGTACATGGTCTAATACTGAAATAACCATGAGATAAGTACTGCATGTTCAAATAAGCTTTTGGAAGTGTGTTTCTTCAATGGTCATATTCCCCATCGCTCTCACCCTCTCTTCACTGTCATGGAGTTCAGCCTTAGAACACATTCCTGGAATTCAGGCATAAAGAGAACACTCCTCTTCCATTAACATCATTTGGAATTTTGCCTCCAATTTCAATGGGAGCCGAATGTCAACCTTTCTTGGACATAAGCAGCATGTTTGAGGTCAATAAGCCAAATAGAAGTACAAACATTTAACATATAAAGGACTGAAAAGCACTGGTCAGAATGCTATCACCTATAAAGTGTTATTTTACTATTAGTATCTATGGAATGAATTTTAGAAGTTGCATTGTTAATGTTTCTGGAAAAATTAAAGAATTTATTTAGAAGAGGAAAAGGAGTTGGGCATTTACTACTTTAAATAAAGCACAAAATGCATGTCAGCTGTTTTCATTACACAATTTGTCACTAACATACATCTGTATTCATGTCGCAGCTATGATATGTATGTATTAGGGGATTTTCACCAAATGGATTGGAACAGCTTCATCTTAACCAATTAACAGATGAATCTATTATGGTCACTTTCAACAGTTACTGAGATCAAATACTTTGGGTTGTATAAGTATTTTGGGGTTGTAAGTGTGCCAGTGGAACAATGGGACGTCCATTTTTGCTCCTCCTTTGTGCACCCCACCACCCACAGCTGATTTTCCAGGTTTCACAGGGGGCAGAGACAGTTCTGTCATACTCACAGAAGTCCTTTGCACCAGCAGAGCTGCAACACTGTATACGGTCCTATTCTCGTTTGAACAGGCAAATAATTTAGAAATTAAGTTTTCAAGATGCATAGTCCGAGGTTTGAAAAATGTATATTAATTGTGGAAACTATCTGTGATGTACACACTTTGTGGAGACCACTTTCCATTTTAAATCCAGTTATTTCTCATACTTCCATCCAAGCAGCAGTTAATATGCAAGAGAGGTCACAGGGTTCAGTTAAGTGTTGCACTTAATCTGATTGCTGGTGAATGTAACGCAGTGTGTGCATTTTAAAGCACAGTTCTTCATAAATTCCAGAATCCACAAGTTCAATATTTGAGTCCCAAATCTGCTTCAAATGAAGGTTAATATTTGAGTGGACATGTTTGGCTTAGTACTTCAGGACACTGTTCTGCTTAAGAGTTGTATGCTAACATAACTACAGACTTATTTTTTTAAATTAAAATGTAAATAAAAATGCCCAAACTTTTTTGTAGATAATGGAAAATATTTTAAAGACATCTTTTAAAAGATTGCAATGATCTGTTGAGCAAAAGGTGTTTAAAGTTGAATGTTAACGTGACAGAATTACCCAAGGTTTTTGTTTTTCATAAAAAAGTAATAGTATGCTTTGCTCTATTTTTGCAGGGGGGGTGTTACTTGGAAAACAGCATGGATGAAGAGAGCTAACCCCCTCTCCACCATAGATAGTATCATTTTTAGAAGGATCATGGATCACCTGCTCTTATATCGTGTTGCATCCTTAAAGTGAAAGGACAGGGACTACGAGAAGATTATTCTAAAATATAATCCAGGCTGGAAGCTACTTGTTACTTTCTTCTTCTAGCCTTTCATCACCATTCCCATCTGGGCACTGCAAAACAAAAGCATTAACTAAGACTCCTCCCCACTGGGAGAAAAGTAGACATATACACTAATTTACTTGATTGTTCAATGCAGCATGCATTTGCCATGTTAACCCCATTTTTTAAAAAAGTAACAACGAGCTGTGTCATCACACAGTATCAAGGGAGACAAGCTGGAACAAGTATATATTGTTAGAAACACTTCACCTGTGACCAGAAGTTCCAACACCTTACTCCATAAATAATGACAATTACAACCACTTGACTCAAGCAATAAATACCACAGCAGTATTGCACTTTGCAATTCAAAAAAAGTCCAGGTTCATTTCCACCCCCCTCAATTTACTACTTGGCCACCAGAATCCTAGATCTGGAGTAGAGAATCCATTATTCTCCAGGTGTTGTTGATCTCCAGTTCTCATCAGCCTCACCCAGCACGGTCAACTGTCAAGGGATGACAGATGTAGTCCATCAACATCTGGAAGGCCACAGGTTCCCCAGCCCTGTTGTTGTTGTTTAGTCGTTTAGTTGTGTCCGACTCTTCGTGACCCCATAGACCAGAACAACCCTGTACTAGATCATGTAAAATAGATGATATAAATGCAATACTTGTATTGTTGTCTTATGATAGATTTATTGTTTTATGTACACCACTTAAACATTCTGATTAAGTGGTTTATACATTTTTCTAAATAAAAATCTAGAGTTGCCTCTCAGACAGAACAAGTTGCAGCAACTCAGGTAAAATTAATCATTCTTATTCTAGGGAAAGCATTGCAAATGCATTGGAGCACCTAAGAAATGGTTCTATAAAAGATTCACTCAAATCTTTGCTGAATAATAGAAATTTTAACCAAATCTGGTATAATTAACTATAGCTGCAATGCTATATATCTGGGAATAAACCACACTGAACTGAACCAGTTTCCAAGACAACATGCTTAAGCAAGTGAACTTGGTTTAACTTCAAGATCACCTATGAAATCTGAATATATGGTAAGAGTCAAGATAAAAGCCCAATGTGAGATTAAATATAGAGGCAACCCTACATCACTTTATGACTGATCCAGCCAATGCATATGAATACCAAGCTATGTTATCATTACATCCATACTGCATTATCTTTCTTTCCATGTCTTAGCAAGTTCAATAGCAGTGGGCGAGTCTCATGCCAAGAAGCAACATATTGAAGGAATAAAGCATATCCAGAAAGCTTGCCAAAAGACGGGGGAAGGAGGTTTATGTCAGAAACTGAATTAGACAAAGATCTACTGAAGAGGCATATCGAGCACAAGCCAGAAGTACATTATCTTGCCCTCCCACAGACACAGTTGTACCCCATTCTTTCAGGTATAAAAATAAATGTGCCTCTCCTCTCTACTAATGTAAAACTTTTAAGCATGCCAGATAGACGGCACTATTCTGGTGTTTTCCCCCTTTAATACTGAGGACTCGGTGACTAGATACATTTAATAGAAATACATCAGAAATACATCATTAATTCATTTAGTCTGAAAGCTTATTCTGCAAGAATTGCAAATGAATGCTAAGCAGGCACACATTTTTTACGTTCCTCATTTCTCATTCAGAGCAGATCCTCATAACATCCTTGACTGATTTTACACTTTATATTTTAAACATATTAATTATATTAAGCGTCATACACTAAAAATAATAAATTGGGTTAGAATCCAAAGGGAAATGTGTGCTCAGGAGTACTGCACACACAATCTGTAGTTCAGGTTTCTAGTTTTGCTGCACCAGTTTTCATGGCTGCAGGAAAGAGCTGATTTCTAAAATTAATGCAAACATCTCTCCTCCCCACAATGCTACAAATCTTGGTGATTTTACAAAAACCATGAAGAACCTGTCCAACAAAATACTGGATAGTATTTTTGTTTTGCTGCACCAAGAAAGCCTGCTAGAATTAAAAGTTTAGCTAGTGTTTCTAAGTTAAAATCTCATATTCCTAATAGACACAAGTTATAGTCTGAACAGACATGCATAGGATTGAACTGTATGTGATATAAAGAAAGCTAAACTGGTTTCACTTCTCTAACTATGCTCAATTGATTGCACATTCCAATTTATTTTTTAACAGCAACTTATAATGACATTTGCATCTTCAAAAAGTGGCTTGTCATGCATAATGAAAGCTTGTGGTACAATTGTTTCCCACACATGCTGGGTATGTGGAACCTAACTGCTTGGATCCAATTCAGTTCACATCAAGAGACCCTAACCAAGAAGTTACTATGGCACTGAATATTCAGAAGCTAGACAAATGAACAAAAATGTCCTAATATACTTGAATCAGAGTTCTTCTTTTTATTCAGCCATCATTTGTGATCTTAGGATGCCATTCTTAGTTTCAGCTTCCCATCTGCAAATGACTGGTACAAATGACTGGTACAAGGTTAAGAAATATGTGGTACTAAGTACAGTAGTACCTCGGGTTAAGCACTTACGGTAATTCGTTCCGGAGGTCTGTTCCTAACCTGAAACTGTTCTTAACCTGAAGCACCACTTTAACTAATGGGGCCTCCCGCTGCCGCCGCGCTGCCGGAGGACAATTTCTGTTCTCATCCTGGAGCAAAGTTCTTAACCCGAGGTACTATTTCTGGGTTAGCCTGAAGCGTATGTAACCCGAAGCGTATGTAACCCGAGGTACCACTGTATACTGCAACAGTTATATGAAAGAGTCATGTTAAGTGTAAGTCCATTAAACAAGTTTTAGAGAACTGAAGCCCACTGTGCGTTGCAGAAGCCTTGCACATGGGATCCCAGCAGCAAGAGAAAGCAAGTGTGAGATCCAGTATCATGAAGTGGTGGACTAGAATCCAGAAGCCCAGGATTCAATTTCCCACTCAGCCATGAAGCTCACTGTGTGTACTTGGGCCAATCACTGTCTCTCAGTCTAGTCTATTTCACTGGGTTCTTGTGAGGATAAAATGGGAAGGGGGAGAACCACTTTGAGCTCCTCAGATAAAAGAAAGAATATAAATATAAGAAACAAATAAGTGCAAGCTAAGGAAAGTAGCCTTCAAGCAAAGAATACAATCATCATGATAAGCACCCAAAGAAATGTGGTAGCAAAGTCTATTTAAGAGTTTTTAACACAATATTTTGCAGCCAGATTCATATTTACCATCACAATAAGTCAAACCTACTGTCACAGAATCAATATACCCCAGGGTTTGGGGGATGAAAGCCATTACTACTTCAGGCTTGGTATTTATCAAGCAGCAGGACACCCATTAGCAACTTGCAGCACTCTAGTCCCTTGACATTATCAGTTAGAGGTCTGCCCTTTATATACACCAATAACTTCAGCAGAACATTTCTACACCTATTCTTTTCATTATACAATATTAAAATTGTATGGACACCTCCAACTAGGACAGTCAATTGATCCTGACCTCAGGTGCTTACATTCACTGCCCTTTAATTTTTTGGCTTCATTAGCAAAAACTACAAAGCAGCTAAATAAATCTGTAGAGAGCACTGTTTACAAAATGCTTTAAAATTGTTATTGTTGTACTGTATATCAAAACATCTCAAGTTCCAAGAAGAAAAAGCTCCAACGGAGGAAATTTAGGACACAATTTTTGCAGCTTGATTAAGCTTCCCACTGTTTCCCAGTCTGCTAGAAACGTTAGTTATGGATCAATATGTTTTATAGATATCAGCAAGTTTACTCATGTTTACAACATTTGGCATCCCATCCTCCTCTTTATTACTTGAATTAGTATATTCTGTCACTACAAATGAAATCTTCACATTAATAGTGTAATAGTATTCACATTTTAGCATTT